CAACTGAGCGCCGGGCCCGCCGGACTGGCGCTCCCTCGCCGGAGGCAGGGGTGGCTGGAGATGCGGTGTGTTACCTTACCCAATAAAGGCACTGGTGGGAGTGGGCTGTCACTGTGGTCTGCGCGCCGCTGTGCGCCTGCCCCTTCCCAGCAGTGCTGACAACAGGCCCTGGCTTGCAGGAAGGTGTGTGGCATCGTGCTGGCAGCGCCCGGGCACAGCCCTGACCAGAGCAGGACAAGGCGACCTGTCCAAGTGACGAGATGTGCCGCTTTTCTGCTTTTAACCTCCACACAGGTGGCCACTGGCCAGACCCTCATTCCACACACAGCGGCTCTCCCGGGGCAGTGGCTCCTGTCACTCGGCTGTCCTGGCTCACGTGCCAACGGGTGCAACCCGAGGTCTGGCAGAGGAACACCGGGCCAGCCCTTCCCGCCTCGGTGAGTGTGGCTGCACCAGCCCATCCTGTCTCACAGGAAAGTGCAGTATGGGACAGATGCATTCCACAGACAACACAGCCAGCATGTGTAAGAAAATGACTGCTTTAATCAAAATAAAACCCCCTCCTACGCACAGGTAGAAAAGCCAAGCCCTGCAGAAACAGGGTGAGGAGATGGGGTGACCGCTGGTCCACACCAACAAAGGGCCCAAACTGACACCAGGGAAAGTACAAGCGACAGGGAGATGCTGTGGACCAGATGGGTACAAAAGTCTATTAATTCCTCCAAAAGTAGATGTGCTGGAGCCGGGCGCATCGCTGTGCTCCCGCATGGCCAAGTGGGGTGCTGCCGAGGCTCTCGGGGTGGCTGCTGGTGGGACGGTGGTGTGGCCATGGGCCTGGCCAGCACAGTCAGGCCACCCTCCACGACACACAGGCAGGGAGCCCACCGGGTCTCCACAGCAGGACACTGTATCAACAGGGCAGGCGTGGCACAGGGGCACAAAGGAAGGGCTTGTCACCACACGAGTCCTGGCACAGCGCTGTGTCCCTTCTGTCCCTGCCCAGGCTCCCGGCAGCTGGCAGAGAAGTGCCCGCCCGCCTGCTCCCTTAAGTGGTTTTTCGCTTCTTGGCGGAGGGTCTCTCAAAGACGTCTCGTACGCCTGCTGCTTTCTGCTTGAAGAACTTGGTGTTCTGCGCACTCTCCTGGCCCCAGGCAGAGTCGAAGGAGGTGGTATCCTGGTCCACCAAGTGTGTGTACTTTGTCCGCCCCGAGCGCCCAAAGTTCTTGACCTGGAGAGAAGAGCTCGTGAGCAGCTGCTCAGGGAGGACGTGGGGGCCTGCGGTTTGCCCCCACCCAGCACACCAGCTCCCTCTGAGGAACTGCAACCCCTCAGCACAGCACGCAGGCCGGGCGCCCCCCAGCCAGCACACCCACCTGCATGACTTTGGGCAGGATGGTCTTGTTGAAGTGATCCTCGAGGGTCGGGGCGCTGAAGTCCCTCTTGTACACCTCCTCCTCCTCATCCTGCAGGAGAAGGACACACCTGCTCAACCCACAAGTTTCCAGCCAGTGCCAGTAGTAAGTGGAAGTGGGGGAGAGCCACCGGAAGCCTGTATCACTGCTCTGCCGCAGGCTGCTGCAGCACTTGCAGTCCTATTAACGTACTGCTGAAGGTGGGGGACATGAGTGTTGTCCCCCAGGCCTGACCCCGCAGCCACCCTCATATTCCCTCAGGATACTTTTCCAGAGCCTGGGCCATAGCCCACACGGAACGGGCTCAGTTCTGGCAGGGTCCGTGAGCCCAAACAGCAGCATGGGGACAGCTCTGCTCCTTTGGCTCCGTCTCAACTGGAAACCCTCGACCCAACGTGCTGAGGTGAGGCAGTGTGGGCCGGCTCCAGGTAGAACTGCGCCTGCCCCACTCGGGCTGCAAGCCAGTGCCTGGCAAGCTGCTGTGGTATCACTGCTTATCCTCTCCTGACTGCATCGGTGTCACCGCTCACCCTCTGCCACAAGAGCTGGCTGAGTTCAGATCACCTCGGCCACTTCAGCCCCATGCCACCTCTGAGGGTCGGCTCTTGTCCCAGGGCACCCCCAGCCCCATGGGGGTGCTCCCCGCAGGGAGAAGTTGGCCCCGTGCTCTCGCGCAGCCCCGGCAGTGTGCAGTCCCAGCCCTTGCCATGCATCGGTCTTCCCATCACCACTCACCATGAAGAAGGCACCGCGATGGTAGTACTTCTGCAGGAACTTGTATTTGCCCTTCACCGCCTTGTTGGTGATGACCTTGCCGTTGGCCCGCAGCTCGGCGCGGCGCTCCTCCTCCGTCAGGTTCCGCATGCGCTCGATCTCCGCCTTCTCCTTCTCCATGCTGGGCAGGAGAGAAACCCCTGAGACCGCGCGTTCCCACAGCACCCTCCTGGGAGAGCTGCTGTCACCAGCCCCCATCCAAGGGATTATACGTTTACTAACTCTAGGGGAGCAAAGGCACCCCAAGGTGGGACAGCCGTGCTGCCAAAGGGAAGCCTGAGGAAGAGATGTTAATTGCCCACGGGCCTGTGGGGCCTGGGGCTGTGGGTTCTCAGCCTCATATCTATGCAGACAATACTTACGCTTCTCGTTCTTCACGGTCCCGTTTGATACGCTTCAGCTCACGTACTTTCCAGGCCTCGTACTCCTCCTCATCGTTCTCATCATCTGTATCAAGTGCATCCAGTGCTGCCAGTGAGCGCTTGTTCTCCTCCAGCTCCTTCTTCGCTTCCTCTTCTACAATCTGCAGCGAGGAACAAGCTAAGCTTGCTGCGGAGACTGCCCCCTTCCCTGTGTGACACCCAGCCCACCCCTTGGCACCTTCAGCGTGTACTTGCGCCTCTCCTCCGCCAGCCTCTTTGCCTCCTGCTCCAGCTCCTTCTGCTTCAAGGCTTCTGCTTCTCGCTCCTGAACTGTGATCCGGTCCTTCCTGCAGGCAGGGGACCACAACAGCCTTCAGCCCTTCTGTGAGCCAGCACAGCTGCCTGGCTCCTTGCAGACCTCCCCCCATCCTGCAGCGCAGCCCCTTTCAGCCTTTGCTCTCTCCCAGGACAGGCTGAGCCCCAGGAGTCTCCCCTTTCCAGCGTCACCCATGCTGGAGCTACCACACCATTCCCCTACAGCTGCAGGCGCGCACACAAGCAACAGGAAACAAAGCCTCTGGCTGTGGTGCACACCTTCCCTTTGCCACCGTACGGCACTTGCCCGAGGGCTCTGGTCAGACCCTATTACGACTTCGACCGACAGCCTGATCCTGCACCAACTGACACAGCTGACAAGGGGCTGTTGGTGCAGGGATCGCCCCTCGCTTTTGCCCCAGGGAGATGAACCGCCACCCTACAGCAAGGAAGAGACCATGGCATCCACCCACTTGCGGATGAAGACAGGTTTGAGACGTGGCTCCATTTCATCCTCGCTGTCTGTGTACTCCTCGTACTCGGACTCTGACTCAGACTCTTCTCCAGATCGACCCTCATCTTCCAACTCCATCACTTCCATCTCCTCGGTTTTCCTCTCCTGTGCTCGCTGACGCATCATCCCACGCCGACGTTCAATCTCCTATACAGAGACAAACACGGAGGAGTCAGATGACCAGCCCCGCTACCACTTCGCTCTCATTTTCCTGTACAAGAAATGCAGTGTCTGGAGTGTTGGCTACGAGACAGTATGCCTGTCCTTCTGGATGCAGGATCGCCTCTCCCGGTGTCCCATCCCACACAAGAGGACAGTAACCCACGAGTTAAGTCACGGCCAACCGTGACACTTGTTGAGCTCCACCAGACAGCCCACATGTCCATGCAAAAGGCAGTTCCAGCCTGTGCCATTCAGGGGCTCCCTTAGACTCGTTATTCAGCTCTGCAAGCGTACCTCATCATCGATCTCTTCCTCTTCCTCTTCGCTGGTGTCCTCCCTCTCCAGGCGCCAAGCTTCCCCCTCCACCTCTGAATCACTTTCTCCAACCACTTCAGGTTCCACGATTTTACGGTGTCTTGCCAGCCTGCAACAGACCCAAATTAAAGAACAGCACTTTGAATGCAAAGAGGCTGTAAGAAATTCACCATTCGTGAATTGTTCCTAACGAGGCCGTGGTAAATGCTGGAACTGCTGAGTGTGGGCAGACCCCACACATTCTTTCCCAGGAGGCTGGAGTGGCTGGGGACCGGCAGCTCCTCCCTGTCCATGCTCCGAGTAGCAATGGAGATCCCAGCAGGAAGCCTCCATGTTACTGGAACCAAAAGCAGCAGCAGCTCCACAGGAGGAGGCAAACAGCACTTGGTTACTCCCTGCCTGGAGCATATTCCACGTGACACCATCCCTCCCCACTACCATGAGCCTTAACACACTGTTAGTTTTTATTTTGGAGCCTGTTTTTGCCTTCACCCACCAAACCACACCCAGACATGGGGCTGTGCCCTGGGAAATGGTGACTCCTGGTTGGAAGGGCTGCTTGTGGCAGGGCCAGAGCCTGAGGCACAGGGCAGCACAGACATGATTAGAGTCAGAGGCTCTCCTGCACTGCCACAACAATGATCAGCTTCTGCCAGCGTTCCTGCAATTCCTTACTACCATGTGGCAGAGGGGGGATCGGACTCCCCTACAAGGGCAGGGGCACAGCTCTTCGCTGACCCCAGCACTCACCGCTCCTCCACATCTTCAGCGATGCGGTTCTGAAGACGCCGGAGCCGGGGGTCGTTGGCGAGCTCCTCCTCCTGCTCCTCGGGCTCAACCTCCTGCTCCTTTGCCTTCTTGATGAACTGGAACTCCTCATCCTCCTCCTCCGAGGACTCCATGGGTGCATAGTCGGGCCGCTTCCCCGACACATATCGCTTCACCTTCACCTTCTCCATGGACAGCTCGCCTGCGGGTACCCAGGCCGTCACCAAGGGCTCTGCGCCCGGGCCCGCGTCCCC